TCAAATGTTCTAGTGAATTGTATTTTATCTAGTATTTTGATTTTTTTTTTTTTGCTTCTTGATTCCTCTAATGGAGGAATAGCAATTGGAGTCTTGTTTCGAGTGGTATATGGTATTAGTGAGGTCCGGAAATATTTTATGCTTTTCTTCAGTGCTTACTACTTTCACGTTTTGGACGATCTCAATATTTTATGCGTTAATTGATTTCTTACGTTGCAATGTTTAATGTGATACACTGATACCTTTTGGAATCGGATGCGAATGTTATTTGTACGAGATAAGGTTTTATGAAATCGTTTGTAGCGACAGATTTCCACTATTTTGCTAGATGCAGTTCTTTTTCTTTTTTTTTATTCCCCTCCAGTTCCTAATTTCTACTGTAGTCTATGTCATAATTGTGAAAATCGTTTCAGTTTTCAAAATTATATGTCCTGTCTTGCAGAATTGAACTTTAGAATGTAAATTTTTGCGATGTAATAGGTTCTGAACTCCAATGGCATCGTTCTTGTCGAGTTTTTTGCGCCTTGGTGCGGTCATTGTCAAGCGCTCACGCCTGCATGGGAGAAGGCCGCTACTGTTTTGAAAGGAGTTGTTACGGTGGCAGCTCTTGATGCAGACGCGCACAAGTCACTCGCTCAGGTTTATTATTAATATTGTATTCAACGCCATTCAGCAGTTATTTCAAAATCTGTTTCGCTTGCCATCTTTCATCAGTCAACTTCCTTACAAACTTGCGATAGTTAATTATTCCTTATAAAATGTCTGTAATTCGAAGTCGGTTGCTACACTTTTTAAGTGGAACCACTTACTGTAATTATCACTGTTATTGTTTGGGATAGACTTAGTTTTGTGTTTCTTTACCAGTCCAGTCTTTCCATATCAATGGCTTTCCTGGAAAGAGGAAAAGGCCAATGAAGAAAGGGAAGGCAAAGTCGGATACTGCATGTTCCATGATGTTCTTTGAATTTTCAGCTTGATCTATTTGCACATGGTAATTATTGTTTCGATGCTTTGACCGTGAATAAGATGCCAGGGTTCTCTAGATGAAAATAACTGCTTAGATTTTAAAGTGGTCATTTTGTCATCTGCTTTGTGTATCAACGTGCATCTTTTCTTTCTTAAATGACACCCTTGCATTGATGTTTAAAATTTTGGCAGAGTTTAGATATGGCAATTGAGAAACTCTGTCTTGTCTTCTCTGCTCGAGGACCATACTTTTACTTCTCATGTCTTTTCATATCAAATTCTTCTAATTATGAAACACTTCTTGTTCACTGTGTTCCCCTGAGTTCCCTTATAATCATTGTGTCGTTGGTCATTTATACAGGAATATGGCATTAAAGGATTTCCAACCATAAAAGTATTTGCACCTGGAAAGCCTCCAGTAGACTACCTAGGAGCTCGGGATGCCAAACCCATTGCAGAATTTGCTTTGCAACAGGTTTGTATTCGATAACTTGTTGGGGAATGGCCATCTAGTCCTCTAGAGCATTACCTAACCACACCACCACCCACCCCACCCACACACCCCCCCGGGGCCTTTGCTATTAGCCAGAGAACATCGGCATCATCATGCTATTGTGAAATTGTTTCATTTTTATTTTTAGACGTGCATTTAATACATTGCATTCATATTCTTCTTTTCAGGTAAAGGCTCTTTTAAAGGAACGTCTAAGTGGCAAGACAACAGGAGGATCAAATGAGAAATCAGAGCCTAATGCTTCAGAAGAATTGAATTCTCGCAACTTTGATGAGTTAGTGGTAAAAAGTAAAGATCTTTGGATTGTGGAGTTCTTTGCTCCTTGGTCAGTATTTTATTGTTTTCGTGCATTAGACCTTGATTATATTCTACATTTTTCAGGGTGCTAACTTTTATTTTCCTGATTTGTCTCTTAAGGTGTGGACACTGTAAACGATTGGCTCCAGAGTGGAAAAAGGCTGCGAATAATTTGAAGGGGAAGCTGAAATTGGGTCATGTTGACTGTGATGCTGAGAAGGTTAGTTGAAATTCACCTTTTAGGTATTTGAGCTAGAAATTATCTGAAATTTTATTGAATCTGTCTTGTGTATACCAAAGTTTGATGCAAAATAAAATGTAACCTGCCAAATGTCAATGTTGATCGTCAGCTAATTGTTGATTTATATGGAGATCATGTGGTTCAAATTTGTGTACAGACTGGTTTGCCTTATTGGGTTTTTGTGATTACTTGAATTATCGTTTTGTCTATTATCTTATTTTGATTACCTGCAGCCTGATGCTGTTTCCTTCTCTAATTGTTGGGTAACTATTTAAAAGTGTACATTTAAAAATCTATCATCCAAATCTTCTAAGTGTATTCAGAAAAATGTTTCTTTGTTTCTTTATAACAAAAATTAAGTGAACACATATTAGGCGACTATTCTTAAAAAGTCTTTCTTTGTTTTCATTTGCTTTCATTTGTTTTTTGGGTGACCTACTGTTAAAAGTAGTTGAACTTATTCTTCCTTTGAAAGTCATGAATTTGAATTTGGAAGTGATAATTTCGACAGCAACTCGAATTATGAGTCACTTGATTCATTTAAATGGTTTAACAACCCCCTTTTCTATTTTTCATTCTTTCCACCTTCAATCTGAACCTTCTTTACTTGATATACTATTGATTAATCTGCGGGATCTAATCGGCAATGGGATTACCAGTCCCTAATGAGCAGGTTCAATGTTCAAGGATTCCCCACCATCTTGGTATTCGGTTCTGACAAGGACAGCCCGATTCCTTATGAGGGTGCAAGAACTGCGTCAGCCATTGAGTCATTTGCTTTAGAGCAGCTAGACACAAATGTTGCACCCCCAGAAGTGACCGAGCTGACTGGCCCTGTAAGCTGCTTGCTTGACATGCTATTTTTGGTTTTTTAAATATTTTATTCTACGCTTGGGAGTTTGTAACTTATTACCTCACTCCTATAGGACGTTATGCAAGAGAAATGTGCCACGGCTGCCATATGTTTTGTTGCTTTCCTGCCTGACATTTTGGATACCAAGGCTGAAGGAAGGAACAAGTACCTCCAGCAATTGTTATCAGTTGCAGAGAAGTTCAAAAGAAGTCCTTACAGGCAAGTATCCAAGAACACATACCATATCACTACCGCATTCTTTCATGTCAAATTCTTCACTCCTGGGCTGGATACCATATCGTCTAATGTACTAAATTTTAGAGACACTAGGAATCTAAAATAACTTTGTATATTATTCTGCAGCTATGTCTGGGCAGCTGCCGGCAAGCAACCCGATCTTGAAAACCGTGTAGGAGTTGGTGGATATGGATACCCAGCTTTGGTAGCTTTGAATGTGAAGAAAGGAGCATATGCTCCCCTTAAGAGTGCATTTGAGCTCGACCATATAATGTAAGCTATAACTTTTAATCTCTTCCTCCCCACCTTCAGAAATGTGTTGAATCGCTATGAAATGGTCTTTTATGCAGTGAGTTTGTGAAAGAAGCTGGTCGTGGAGGAAAGGGCAATTTGCCTTTGGAAAGCTCCCCTGAGATTGTCAAGACAGAACCATGGGATGGCAAAGATGGGGAAGTAATTGAAGAGGACGAGTTTTCGCTTGAAGAGCTTATGGGTGGTGCAGAAGACGCTGTAACTAAGGATGAACTATGAACAAATCCAAGCCTAGCATAAGGGGAGAACGTCGACTTAAAATTTGATTTTTGAGGTTACTAAGACAGTTTTCTGTTTGTCTTCGTAATGTTAAATTAAAAGGACGTTTCTTTCAAGCTTGAGGTGCTTTTTTACCAGACTTTCTTACTTCCCACTGATCTCTGTCAAAAAGTTTACTGGAAATTTTCTAATACTCACGTACTACCAAGTTTTAAACGCTCGTTGATGATGGAAATATTGATAAAATGTGAATATGAATCGTTATTTCCAAAAAGAAATATAAAGTAAAAAATTCATAAGGAATAAACATTTCACTGTTGTTAATATATGTGTGTTTTGAACCTAAATTAGAAATATTTTATTGGTATTTATTTTATTATCAATAGTAATATTATGGAATTTTCAATTGCCTCGTAATGTTGTACTACGTGCTCTTTTCATTCAAACCACTGGAGAATAGAAATGTTGATGATGTAAACATTAATAAAATGTGAATGTTAATCGTTATTTCTAAAAGAAAATATAAAAGTAAAAAATTCATAACAAATAAAGATTTCACCGTTATATATATATATATATATATATATATATATATTTTGAATTGTCTAAATTAGAAATATTTTATTGATATTTATTTTATTATCAATAGCAATATTGTGGAATTTTCAATTGTACTACCTGCCTTTTCGTTCACACTGACCCACATCATTTTTTTTTCCAAATCGGGAGCTGTGACCATGATTGACAATTTCATACCTAAAGTTTTTATTTTAAAAAGATAGATCTATGAAGATTAATTAAAATTATATTCTGTTAACATTCAGGTCGTGCCCTAAACTACTTTTAATTGATTTTAATTACATCATTTTGTTTCGCATTTTTGTCCACAATTGACTCCAAAAACCCATGACTATATGGAGGAAATTTCTGAATCGACCCTCCAAAGTAAAATGAATAAGATATAAATTACTTAAATATAGAAGATTCAATCCTCTATCTTCATCGAGAAGGAAAAAGAGGGAAAAAAAGGGGAAAAAAAGGGGAAAAATAAAAGATAGGAACCAACAAATGATGCGCTAACAACAGTTCACATTCTCACATTGCCATGTAAACTACAGCTGAAGTAAAATCTTAAGATAGCTCTCCGTTGCGTTCTTTGAATAATTAAGAGCTTGTACTTTCTATCCTCCATAAGCATTCTTTCCTCAGGGGGGAATCAGCAAATATGGCCTTGATGAAATCCTCGATCTGTAAAAGTGAAGACTTATACATTATAAACATTCAATAATGGATGTTTCATGTTCAAATTTTCATCGCGACATAACATGATTAGATTCAACATAACACGATTAGATTCACAGACTATCTTTGTAAAAATGGTTTAGATTCTCCAAGGCAATATAAAAGCTACGTTCATTGGGTAAACTATATGTCAAAATGATAAAATGAAAAGCCGTGCCATGACTTCATCTGGCCACTTACCTCAGATGTGCTAAACCCGGAGCTGCGAAGTTCTCCAGTTTCCCATTCAGTTGTAATGGATACCAGAGGCATATCTAATAACTCTGTAAATATAACAAAAAACAAAAGTAGTTGTTAATTTCAAACATTGAATTTTACGCTTGTCATAAAAACTGATCACCAGAAGGAGAAAGCATGCCTGCAAGTTTACGGAGTTTCCTGAGAGATGGTACAAAAACATCAAGACTGTACAAGGGACTCTCCTCCAACTTCTCTTGGTGTTTTGCAGTCAGGGACTCCAATAAAGTTGATATGTTGTCTAACACCAAATGAATGAGTCTTTGAAGCTACAAAAAGAAAATTATTCATTAGGTAGGTTATCTTCAGCTTCATTGAAATACAAGAGGTAAAAGCTAAAAGTGGTAATGCATATCTGTACCTCTAATGTTTCTTCTACAGCTATGTCATCCAAAAGGAGTATGTCTTTTGTGATTCTAGATAAAACCAACTCTAAGATTGCAGACATGCATCTTTTGTATCTGGAAGGTAACAAGAGTGGCTCCCAGATAATATGTACTTTCTCCAGAATGAACACAACCTGATCCACAACTTTCATCTTGTTAAAATGGATAAAGACAACTGCAAAAGCAACCGATGGGTTCCTTGAAGCATAGTAGATTGGTATGTCCGTTCTCATCAATAAGCTCCAAATTTTATAACTCATTATTGAATTTTGATAGCGAATCTATGTGATTCACATGAGGACAAAAAATATTAAATTTTATAGCTCAATTAAAATTTTTGTTTACAGAATTACTTCATACTTGAGAATTGTGTTACAATATCTTCCAAAACCATGGGCACTAAAAAGGTAACTGCAACAGACTTTAGTGATGCCAGAAAAACCTTCAGAAACAAGGTCACTTCAATCAAAACTTTGCAGGTTAACTGAAAAAACTTGCTACTTCTCCAATGGAATAAAATTTTCTTCTAAAATTTGAATCTCTCCCCATGGAGTAATTTAAAGGCACTTTGAGTCTCGCCCCATGGGTGGGGGAGAATCTAATATAAAGAGAGCGGCAGCAATGTTTGTTCTACCTGATCTATGCTGAACTTTGCAGATTCAAATTGTTGCCTTCTATGTGTATTATGAAATCCATCTGCACCATCTATAGCCTATACCAGGGGAAACAAGTTCATAAAGCAGCAAAGAAATATATTAATGTTTTAATCAGAAGATCCAACCACAATTTTAGAACATGAGTTTCCATTAGCTAACCTCGTTCAAGTTACAGGTTATAAGCTGAAGCTGCTTATGCATGATTTCTTCTGCCATCTCATGGAACCTCGGAGCCATGTCAACAAAGACAGCATGTTCTTTTAGGAAATCTGGGAAGTCTAACCGATACTGAAACATGAGGTAAATCAGATCTGTAATTTCCAGTCCAGAAAACTTTTGGACCTATTTCAGACCTAAGATCGGGAATTATTTTCCTCACGAAGAATTTAAACCAAAATCAGAACTATCGAAAATCAAGAAAAAGGGAACTTTCAGTTCACTCGAAGGCTGGATTTGAACTTAAGTTTGTGTAGGAAGGAGGGGGAGAGGATTCGACAATCTTTAAGAAGGCATTTACACCTAAGCATGTCATGATTACATATAGTACCTCAAATGCAAGTCCAAGTATCTCCTGAGATAAATAAAGGCAGTCATTGTGCATGAGAACTGCAACATGATTTACTGCATCGAGCTGTCTTTCTAGCTTCACAAATAGCAAAGGTAATTATATAGTGGTGAATGTGATGGTTAACATTCGAAGAAAATTTATGACGCAAATACAATCAAGATCTTTTATTGAAACCAGTTACCAACAGCGAACTGTTCTGATGCCACTGCATCAAATGCTCACCTTGACTGGAACAACAACTTCATAGAGGAGTATGGCATCCCTAGCAGCATGATAAAATTCCAAAGCAACTCTGGTGGATGACAAACAGACATCCTACAATCGAAATTGCATACTTTTCATCACTACATGATCAGAATCTCAATAGCCAAAATACATGCCCAATTACTACAAAAGACCTTTGGAAATACTTGTACACAATCAGAGATAACATAAATCCAGAAAACCCTGTCAAAGTCAACTTTACAAAGTACCATGATGCAAATAATATGAGATGATTAATATTTTTGTAATAATGTTTTACGTTATTTCATGCTTATACTTCCATGCTTGATTTCCTATTATTCATTCCACTTTGATATCCGATTGGAAAGGTTTTTTGTAACTCCCTTAGATACAGATCTTCTCCCTCTTTTGTATTTATAATTTCATATTACCAATGAAATTGATTCTTCATAAAAATACACACACACACACACACACACACACACACACACACACACACACACACACACACATATATATATATGTTTGTTAATAAGCAGATAGGTAAGTAAGCGCAAACATATATATATGTATTATTCATTCGAAGCGGGCTTTATCTTCTCTAATAATGCCGGAATGGGTTATTATTTCTCTATTCCTCGAAAGCAGTGTTGAATCCTTAACTATATTTCTATGTGGCCCTCTGCTTAATACAGTCTAGGCACTTTCAGTTATAGATTAAGATTTCCCTCTACATCAGGTCTCCTCACTTCTCCCATTACCATGCTCTCAGAATTCAGACACTAACCGGATCATAAATAAGTTGTTTTAAAAAAAGCTAAAAATAAATAAATACCAAGTTCCATAACAATAATGAAATTCGCCTTTGAAGGATATAAGATAACCTGCAGCGTTTGATGCACTAGCTCCATCAGTTCGGCGGCAGCTTCAGATACCACACATCTCTCGGATATGAAAAGTAAGTCAACAACCTGATTTGAAGAAATTTTAGCTACTTCGTTGCCCTTTTGCTTACCACCTTTGATTGTGAACTCCTGTATTCGTATTTGTCTCATAAATCGGGACATACCACAATATTTACAAGGGAATATAATTATGTCCTATAAACTCACTTCAGGGACAGAAAAGTCGCATTTTAAAAGTAAATTTCTGGCCTTTGCTAAGATTTCTTTCCTCTTCCCAGAAGCAAAGTGAACCTCAACATTTTCAGCAAAATTACTCAGCCTTTCATCTTTTGCATCGGCTGGAGAGATAAACATCAATTCCTTCAATGCACCCTCAAATTTGGATGTACTTTCAACAATCTTCTGAAATCCAGCAAGCTTTGAAGCATCTTTAGGTACTACCTGAGAAAGGAAAAAAGATATTAGATTCTAGCTTAAGAATCTCTCTTATCTCTCTCTAACCTGAACAATCTAACTGCTCACTACTTCTGTTAACTTTATGATGCTATAATATTCACCATTATTATTACGTTCCTATTTAGTGCATTCCCGTGTTAAAAGCTGAGAAAATAGGAGGAAGAGGGTCATAACATGTGAGCACAAGAAATTGTAGCCCATCAGTCTCTAGCCTAAAATATATTCTAATCAGCTCCTCCAAATAAATCGGTTTCTAAGTTTCTGCATAATACAAATGGTAAATTATGTCATAACCAACCACATCCAACTTGCTATTCATACATATTGTGAGGTCTTGTATAAAAGTATTTACATCATGAGTCCCACTACAATCAAGAAATATGCATCAACATAGAAATTTTAGAACAGAAACATGTGGAATCATTGCTTCATGCTAAAGAATTACAAGAACAAACCTTCGAAAGAAACCCTGAAATAATCAGTTCTGACATCCGAGGCCATGTTAATCTCCCAAAACGTTGAATCCAAGAACTATTTTGATAACATATGTGTCTGTAGATAAACTTAACAATATGAACTATCCCCGAGTATAGGGTTTCTCCATCAACGTTCTCAACCTGAAGATAAGGAGACAGAGAAGTTAACTTTCTAAATAAACTTTTTTTGTTTAATATCCGTGAGTGTCCAAACCAGCTTACGCGCACTTCGACTAATCTCACGGCACAATGACCCTACAATATTTGGTGTCGGGAAACTACATTCTGAATAAACAAGAGACCAAAAGTAAAAAAGTTTGAAGACCTTAGTCTAGTTATACAGAAGTTGATTTGTTCAACCAGTCAACTCTAGTTAAAGAGAGCAAGAAATGGGAGAATAGAGAATGAGAATCATTCACCCACATCCCCATTAAGTTTAACAATACGTGAGACGGAGATTCGAACCTCCAACATTTTGATCGAAGATATATACCTTAACTAGTTGAGATATCTTTATTTTGTTTTTTTATAACCCAGAATTTATAGCTCTTTAGTTTTTTACCCATTTAACTAGTGGCATCGATCTTGCCCCAAGGCTCAAACCCAAGAGACATCAAGGATTTTTTTAATTAAGCTCACCCAAAAGTTTAAACGCAAGATCTCATGGTAGGTGATATCACAAAGCCCTATGCCCTTGCCAATGGGACTGCCCCTCGGAGACTATGCTTATTTTGGCATTCTCATTATTTACCAAAGTAAACAATAAATGAAGTATGATTTCAAATTTGTGGGACTAACATCAAAATCAGGACCCAGCCATTACTTTCTTTTTCCTTTCTCCTTACATTTTTTTTTTGGTTCCACGTCGACCCAAATTTGATTCTTTCCCAACATTGGTGAACGATATCAAGGGTCATTCTTTTCTTCTGATCCCAATTACAAAATACTTTTAGTAAACACAATATAGAAAATCTTACTTTGATTCCCCCTCATTCTACCTCATGTTAGAAGATGAGGCTTAATGTAAGTTTTTGTCTCGAAAAATCTGGGTATTAGTTGATTGGTTATATAATTTCAAAATTATGTCTATACACTTGATAAATGAATTAGCTCTCTCGAATCCCTGAATTAGTTCTGTATGACAAATTAAGGAAGAAACACCAAGCAACAAAAAAGTAGCCAATGGTGGAAGATAACTAACCTTTCCTAGAGAAGGCACTATCTTCAGTACCGCTACATTATTTCCTTCGGCATCTTGATTTATTTCTTCTACATATGTTATTGGTGAGCTGCAAGTTAAGGCCGGAGAGACCACAAACTTAATAATCAAATCAGCTACTTTAGCGAGGCCATAATCTAGAATACCAACAACCTGTTATGAAGCCTTTAACTGAGTTAATTATCTTCATTTCATTAAGCATAATGAAAATACAAAAGTAAGGACTTCAAAGAGTTAGAGGCAAACCAAAAAAATTAGAATGAGAGGCTCCATTGTTGATTCGATCAAAAACAGAAAAAAAAATTAATACATTTCAAGAAGAAAATTTACTTTAAAATATTCATGTAACAGAAAATACTGAAGTTTCGAAGATCTTAAAATGTGAAAGCTGCAATTACATAATTAACAAAGGCCGTCTAATTCAGGAAGATATAAATCTAGTAAATCTAGAGCGGAAATAAGGAAGTATAAGGGAAACGAGGCTCACATCCATTGCTTCCAAAACTGTGCTAAGCTCAATCCCATCAATTTCGTCAATTTTTGACCAGTGTTTCACTTGAACCATAATTGATTGCTGATCAAACCTTACTGCATGTTCCAGGATTTTTACAAGCAAGTCTTGAATCTAGAAACCCAAATGCAAAACCTCAAAAAGATAAAAAAGACAAATTAATTTGAATAACAGAACCACCGTAGTATCAAACAGAACTGACCAAAAATGACTGACCTAAGATCATTTAATTGAAGTTCAAATAAATGTTCACTCTGACAATTTAACTTAAAGAATTGAAGTCTCTTACAATGGTGAAATCTACACTACGAAAACTATAAGAAGATTATAATCGTCTTGAGGTCCATACATGTTTTAGCTGTTAGATTTCCATGAAAACGAAAACTCACGTTTCGAATCATTAAAAGTTACAAGGAGAGAACACAACATCTCAACAAGTTCAGGTCATACTCAATTCGTATTCTAAGTCAACCCAATATGTAGAGAAGTTCGTGTAGTTTCCTTAAACATCTTTCAAATACCAAAGATGTTTCCTCACCTCCTCAAAGCACTGGTACCACTCCCTTCTCAGCAGCCCGTAAACCAAGGGCTCTCCATCTTTACAGTCATCGTCATTGTAAATCAGTAGAGCGTTCTTCAGCTCTCTCACTTCCTCGGCGGCAAATTTGAGCATTCCTTTCCTTGTTGCTTCTCTTACACCCTTCAACCTGTCGTCCAACTCCACAATTACCTTCACCAACCCTAACAATTCCCTCTTCTCCCTCACGCCCCTGGTCTTTTCCTTCATGTCATCGATAATCTCACGCGTCTTGGCTTCAATCGGGCGGCCAGTAGTCAACTCCAGCACATTTGACACGTCCTTGGAGATTTCTTGATACTGGCAAACGGCATCATTGCAGAGGGAGAAGAGGTCCAAGAAGTCTTGATGGTGAGAAAGTAAGTAGGCGCGTATCCTGGTCTTAATCTGGAGGGAGTGGGACTCGAGGCGGTTGACGAGAAGGCGGAGATCAGGGGCGGAGAGGGGCGCCGTCGGATCGGAGATGTCCTGGGCCGAGAGGAGTTCCCGTATATCGATCGAACCGAATAAGGCCTCCATGTCTGAATTCGATGGACGTTGAAATAAGCGGTTGCCGGAAATTTGAAGAACTGTGCCGCTGGAGCTGGATACAGGCGTTTCGGAATGGAAATATTTTCGATGAGGGTTGCTTAATAGGTTTCAAAATCGAGAAGAGTGGAGAAATTGTCGCCTCAGAATTCGCCGTGAGAGTTCGCCGCCGTCACCGTCGTCGCTTCAGTTCGCGGTGGGAGTCGCCTGAACAGCCGTCGCCGTCGAGTAGGGAGGGGAGTGCGATTGGAATTGTTGGGGTGAACAATCGAGTGGGATTTCAAATTTGGAAGATTTTGGGAAATTTTTTAGAAGGGCAATAATGTCTTTTCACTGCTCAAAAGTTCTAGCACTCTAAAAAGTGAAACTAGAAGTCTTTAAGCCCTCTAAACTTTGATTAAACTTGGATTACTTCCGGCAATTTTTTAAGTTGGAGTGGCATTATTTTTTTTTTAACTAGAGGTATTTTAGTCTTTACGCCAAAAATTAAAAAGAGTTAAAAATAACCAAACATGTTGAAGGGTCAGAAAAATAAAAATTTTGAAAATGGGTCAAAAGTCCAATCTCAAAAAGTTTGGGGGCAGAAAATCCCAATTTTCATGCAGATTGCGGATGTTCCTAGTTGAGCCCGGCCCGGGACATGAAATGTTTATTTTGTCATCTAGCTACATGTCGAATCAAAATAAACGACGACGTGTCGTAATTCATTTTCTTTAAAAATATTACTCATAAATATCGAGGGATGAGGGAGGACTTTAACCAAGAAACTTTAATAAAAATAATATCTCAATTTATTCTTTTAATAAAATACGTAGGAGCGAAAATTCGAAGAAATGACATTTTGATCAAGCTTAAGAACTATGCTCGAGTTGATATATCTCAAATAATTACAATTTTATTATAGATATCAATATAGTTTCTTTGATAAAAGCACTCCTTACCTATTCAGGAGTGAGAAGGTCGAATTCCTTTCTTAATTTTTGTTTATGATAAAAAAAGCAACAAAATTTCATTATCAAGAATAGTGCAACCTTTTTATTACCAAAATCTTAAATAGTTGCTTCTGTACTCCTGTAGTGTTAGAGTTAACATTGGCATTAACACTAGATAATTAATATTTTTAATTTGCACTCCTAAAATTAGAGAAAATAATTATAATAAAAAATTTACAAAACAACCAATTGCATTTTAACTATTTAAACCCATTTAAATTTTATCGCACATGTCAAATGATAAGATAAATGACATTGACATAATTAAATGATCTTTCATTCGATTTTAACTTTTGAGAAGATTACCTTGATATAATAAGGAGTCAGAGTCAGCGACAATTATTTTAAAATTTTGAAATTAATTATTCTTTTAACGATAAATTTGTAATTATTTTCACCAATTCTGTAAAGAGAGGGGAGAGAGAAAAATCACATAATTTGTATTTTTTTTATATATTTTTTTTAATCAATTATGTAAAAGCCCTAGCTATAGGACCTTCCGTCCGATTGACCAAGTCAACCGGATTCGTGTGTAAGGTCATTTGCCGCTTTACATCACCGCAAACGGTTTCGCGGGAAACAAACGCTGATCAGCGGCGGTGTTTTTCTGTACCGTCGATGTTATGGATGTACGGGAAGCTCTGCTCAGAACGATGGCGAGTGATGCGGAGTTTTCTCAACGATATGAAAAGGTACGCTTCGAACTCTAGAATAGCTGCTAATGCCGTCGAGATGGCTGCAAAACACGGCGAATTGAGGGTTTTCATTGTCGCCGGAGAAGTCTCAGGAGACACCATCGGTTCTCGTCTCATGACATCTTTGAGGACGCTGTCTCCTGTTCCTGTTCGTTTCTCCGGCGTCGGAGGGTAAGCTGTTACTTTAGTAAATTGTCAGAATCGTCTATTCATAGGAAATTTCTCTCTCTCCTTTTCATATACTTAGACTTGGGTCATTGATGTTCGTATTAAATGCCAGTAGTAGTTTTAGTCTCGACTTGTAATCATATTCTTGTGGGTTCACATTGTGAATTTTTATGGTTGAAGCAGCGAATTATTGAGATTTTTGCCATTTTAGTCTCTTCAGTGTTTTGAACGCTGTCTGTTGAAATGCTGTACAATTATTAATTTCGTTTTAGTTGAAGTCTTTCTAGGCAATCACTGATTTTCTTTTTATTAATTTCCCATTCACCTCTGTGTCGTTTCAGCCCCATGATGTCCAAGAAAGGATTGAAGTCTCTATTCCCCATGGAGGATATTGCAGTAATGGGAATATGGGAGCTATTTCCCCATCTAAAGAAGATTAGAGTGAGTAATACAGTACATAATATATTTAGTTTAATTGCTTATCTTTCTCATACAAAAGGTGACAAGAAGTTTAATCAGAAATTATGAAAAATACAAAAGTAAAAAGGGGAAGTATGTTAAAAGAGCTTAAGAACTACTTCAATGATGAACGAAAAATATTACAATTATGAAAAGCTTGGAGATAGCACGCTAAGTAGATCCCAAGAATTTGATGAGCTTTCGTAAATCATTTTCACTATCTCATTTTGTCTTCAAAGGTTCCATGGGTTATTTCCAACTAAGTATATGTGCAAATCAACAATAAGAATGATTGCTTATTAATTTGTAAGCTTGGCTTTATATGAATGCCGTTTCTTGGCCTGCACTTTTTTAATGTGAATTTTTGGTAATACCAGGAAAATCTTAAAATGACAGTTGAGGCTGCTATTATGTTTCAACCACACGTCGTTGTAACAGTGGACTCTAAAGGGTTCTCTTTTCGTCTCCTAAAGCAGATACGTGGTAATTTGCACAAGCATCTTGGAGACTGTTGAGTTTTGTTACTTGCTTATACAATTTGAACCGCATGGGAACAATGGGGGTGGTTTTGCAGCTAGATACAGACATGAGAAATTGGATGGTCCGGTACATTTCCATTACGTAGCACCATCATTCTGGGCTTGGAAAGGGGGGGAAAAAAGGCTCAAAGGACTCATTGAATTGGTTGACCACATTTTATGCATACTTCCAAATGAAGATGAAGTTTGCAAATCAAATGGATTGGCAGCGACCTTTGTGGGGCACCCCATTCTGGAGGATACGTTACAATTGAATGTGGTTAGTTATGTCTTATGTCTTAATTCTGGTTCCTGCAGAGTGTACAAAATTATCCTCTTTGAATTATATTCTTGTAGAAGTGGGCTGCATTCCTGCTCTTTTTATCTTACTCTAATTGATTCTGTTTAACGTATGACACACTAATGCATTGTGATTTAGGGAAAGGATGCCTCATTGCAGGAGCTGAAAATACAGGGAAATTGCAAAGATTTTCTAATTAGAAATGGCATTCCTGCTGGTAAATATGGCTGTCCCAAACTACTTGAATATTCTGTTCAAACAGTTTTAATTTGTAGTAAACAGTTTTCTCATTCTTTAGCAGTTTAAGCTTGTAGTCTCATGATATCCCATCATTAGTACTTTTTCAAAATTTTTAACCTAAATTTATTGAGTAAAACCTTAAAAAGATATATACTCACTCTGTAGTCATAAGTTGTTTGTTCATGTATGTGTGCTCTACTTCTATAAATTCTTACATTTTGTAAAATTTATATATTTGTTAAAGATGATGCTTAAAATCTGGTTTTTGTACCAAACGGTTCAAAATTCCAAGTGATTATTTGAGGGAATTTTGTTTTTGAAGATGCGACAATCATCTCCTTGCTTCCCGGAAGTAGATTACAGGAAGTCAGCAGAATGGTTCCAATCTATGCAAGTACGATGGAGTTATTGAAAGAATCCTTCCCAGAACTGATAACAGTCATCCATGTTGCTCCAAATCAGCATGTTCAAGACTATATTAGTGGAGTCCTTCATAAGTGGCCTGTGCCTGCCAGATTGGTTGCAGGAGGATCACCACAAGCAAAATATGATGCATTCAGTGTAAGTCCTTTCAGTCTACTAACTATGGAACTAATATTAGAAAAATTATTGGTTTTTTGTTATAGAACTCAAAGCAAAGATTCCCACTCCCTACTCCCACTCCCTACTCCCACCTATGCAAACTTGAACCTCAATGCTTGCATATAACGATTATGATACCATAAATCAAACCAAGATGCACTTGTGTTTAAATCTCAAAACCTCTTGCAATCTATTAGAGTAGATAATTTCATGGCCTTTTGTCTCTACGATGAGGTAGTCTTTTGTCTTGAGGGTGATAGGAAGGTCAAATGATTTTGAGGTGTTTTTGTTTTTTGGTGCAACTCTAAACTCCCAACTTTTGCCATATTTTAAGAATATCCACGCTTGTGCACTGCAGCAACTATTATATGCAGAATTATCTGTTCCGATCCCTCAAGTCATGCTTATTGGGGTTAATTTTATGGCTGACTACTATTGCTGCTGTTGAAATCATTGTTATCTGAATAATCTGTAGTAACATATGTTTCCATTATTTCTTTCATCTTTCTCAATGAAAACTTGCTTTCTCATAAATGGAAATTATGTTCCTTTTGAGGTGTATTCAAGTCTCCATTCACATTCTTTATGATCTTGTGGTGGATTTTAAGTTTCCTTTTTGTCCATTAATGCAATGAAACTTTTGTGAAAATTTTATCTCCTAACACCAAACTACTTGCAGGCCAGTAAGGTTGCATTATGTACTTCTGGAACAGTCGCCATGGAGTTGCAGCTTGCTCGGTTACCTTGTATAGTTGCTTACAGAGCTCATTTATTAACAGAATGGTTGATTCGATGCAAGGCGAATGTATCATTCATCTCCCTTCCCAATATTCTCTTGAATTCACCTGTTATTCCAGAGGCACTGTTTCAAGAATGCACTCCAGGAAGACTACAATCAATGCTCAAGTAAACAGGATTTTGCACCAACACCACAACCACATTTTCTTGATGCCAACTTTCGTCTCCATTAAAGAACAAAACATTATCTAACCATTTTATCAGAACAAACAAGTTTCAGTTCACATATTGTTGCGTAATTTGGTTTGTTTATCATTTCAGGGAATTAATGCATGACGATGGCCTGCGCGATAAACAGATCGTTGCCGCAGAACAGGTTCTTAGACTCCTGTCTCCTTCAGAAGGAAATATGAAGAGTTTGGCACAGGAGGGTACGGAATGCACATCTCCCATCCGCACACCCAGCATGATAGCAGCATCTACCATATTGTACTCTGAGAGGACCCAAGATGTCAGTTGGAATCAGGCATTCTTTTAGCTGTGAAGACTGGTATCAATTTTGTAGTGTTCTTTTCATTGTGAACGATATTGTTGGAATTGTGTTTCTTTTGAGGAAATACTTCAAATACAAATAAATCATTAGTGGGATGGGTTTTAGTCATATCATTTGAAAATTGTTATGGGTTTGAATTCAAATTTGAAAGGTAAAAGGTGAGAAATATGAAAACCTGTAGAGTGGGGATTTGAACTCACATTTGGTTGGAGATATATACTTTAATCAGTTGAGTTATCCAAATTGATTAAGAAATTTTGAAATGGATTGTTTGCCGCTTGCATTTGATATAGTTGGTCCAATTATATAAATGATCAAATTGAAATATAATCAACGTGAAATATATCAGTAACTTAATAGTTGGTCAAGTATCATCATTCGTTAATTTTAATTATTATAAATAAATCATATTTTCAAAATGTGAAGGTTTTTTCTTTCAGAATTATAATTATTAATTATTATAGGTTAAAATGAGATTATTTTACTTTTAACTTTTATCTATTTTCAGATTATTGTATTTTAAGTCTTCATTTAAACATCAATTTTGATCTTCATACTCTAAAAAAAGTGACTGTTTTGAGTCCTCATTTTAAAAATCCCAATACTAATGATCATTTAATATAAAATTATGACAATATTTTAAAAAAAAAAAGTTATCACAAAGGTCGGGACCAAAATCGATACTAAAATAGGCCACACCTAAAGGTACAGAACCGTGACAAAAATGTAATTTAACCATACATTATATTAATAACTTCAGTGAATTAATTTCTCTGGTCACACAATCGAAGCCAGGTTTCACCATTTGGCGGTTGACACGCATGCACAATATCCTGCCTTAAGACCAGCTCAATTCAACACAACCTCCTCAACGAAAAAAACAAATTAAAACAATTAATTAATTAAACAAACAAATGAATCCATCGGCGAATGTTAAACCAAAAACGGGTTTCGCGATCACGATATGAATATAAATATTGGGTAGCCACAGCGCCCTTGAATCCCATTAGCAGCAGCATCAGCCTCGGAATTTCACCCAAATACCAAACTCTAACGATCCTCACCCTTATTCCCCGCACGATCCATAATATGGCTGTTTTCAGACGGGCGGCTCTTCTCTGCCTCGGAACAATCCTCCTCTGTTTCCTCTTCGCCGGAGCCGCGGCCTCCGATTCCGACTACGGCGACGACATCCACACCGTCCGGCACTCCTCCAACTCCGGCGCCGCCCTCGACGACTGCAAATCGGATCAGCAGGACAAAGGCGACCAATGCAGGGAGGAAAACGACATCGTCGGAGACGACGATTTCGACGACACCTACAAGATCGTCAACAACATTCCCCTGTCTCTATCGGCGGCCGGCAAGATTCTAAAAGAGGCCGAGGAATCGGACCAGGCTCCCGCCTCCGAGGAAGAACTCGGCAATAACCTCTCCATACTCGGCCACTGAGGAATCACTCCACTGATCCGTTCAAATCGTTAAAAAAGAAAAAAGAAAATTAAATGTCTTAATATTGTTTTTTGTTTTTAAATTCGCAATTTTATTATCGTGATTCGTGTGTGTCTTGGTTTCTTCTTCTTCTTTTGGTTTTTGTCAGCAGAATGGCTTCGTGAAGGGGATCGAGTGACAGATGCATAAGAACATGTGCATGCCCTGCGGATCGACGTGCGCATCGAGCTAGTTAATTAAATTTTTGTTTTTAGATCGTATCTTAAATTAGAAAATTAAGTGGGGAGGAAAAAAATGTTATTTGTGGTTGGTTTTTTATTGGTGATGATGATATTGAATTAAACCCCAATGTGATTTTTTTTCTCTCTCTTTTTTTATTTTCTTAATTTAAGTTTTGAATAAATTGCATGTGGTTCGTATGGGTCATTTCGTGGCTGCAAATTTCATTAAAAAAGAAAAAAAAAAAGTCCATGGTGATTAATTTTGATCCTAAATTTTTTTTTAGTTATATCTTCTTCATAGCCTAAATTTTAAGCTATTTCGATATTGTTTTGTGTTACTCCCTTCAATAATTTGGACCTTAACTCAATTCAATTTAATAATTTCTCTTTTTAAGATTAAAGCTTGTTTTCTTTTTCCATTTTCTTTTTATTGATTTTGTTTCTAAATTTTTAAATAAAACATAAATATGTTTAATAATTATTTTATGTTCTATCTTGTTAATAAAAAATGTTGTGTCGTTTTCGGGGATAGATGTTTAACTTTTAAAAATGGTGAATTAGTCTTAAAAAATATATATAAAAAGAAAATTTTATTTGTATAAATATAAATATGTTGATTTCTAAGGGAAAAAAAGCACTTATTCTGTAAAAATTCTATATCCACATTGGTTTCTTACCGTAGTTCTGATTTTTCATTGCTCCTAGTTAAAACTTACTCAACTCATAATTATAATTTCTTACAGAAGAAATTCTAGATTGTATATGGTTGAAAGATTGGACCCCAAAGTAGATGTTCTAAAATATAATATTTTTGGTCAATTACGTTCCCACTGCCCACTTTTGTTACAGTCAACATCTTTGGAAAAAAAAATACAATAAAAACAAAAATGAATTTTTTTTAGGTTGGAAAATGGTTGAAAAAGTCATAATAATTGCTTTTTATATAAATACCATGTAAAATTCTCAATTATTAATAACAATTTTGTTTAATTATTAATTTATTTCTTAATTTTATTTTAAATGTATTAAAATTTATTGTTCTTCCACTAAAAGAATCTATCAAAAATAATTAGAGTGGAAGAGTTCTAATGGAACATAGGTTTTTAACTGAGTAATCTTTATCAATAATCCTATAAAAAGCAAAGCTATAGATTTTTGTTTTGATTTTAGTGATACCTTTTCTTTTCATAAAAAAACAACAAAAAGAGGAAAGTTCCATTTTACCCCTATTATTTTTTACTTAAAAATTTCAATATTTAAAAACACTACATTTATTATTTATATCTTCCCAGAACAATTTTGAAAATTGTTGATCAACCGATCTTACAAAATTCAATCAACTAAATATACAAAGAGATGCTTAAACTCAAACATAAAAATACTCAATACAACATTTTTTCATGAATTGGTATGTTTGTTTTTATTTTTATGTGATGAAAAATAAATAAATAAACCATTTAATGTAGGATTTCCAAATTAAAATATGACAAACTTGAGGGACTAAAATATTTAAAAAATCAAAAATACAAAACGTGTTCAAACTTCAAATCAAGAAAAAAATATTTTTAATTTTTCAGAAAAAATTTTTTTTTTTTAAAAGAAAAATATTTTTATTTATGATAAAAATTTCTGGTACATTCCTTGGGATCATACGCCAGCACACACGTAATCTTGGAACCACCGTAAAAATGGGCGTCGTCGTCGTCATTCGCCTTCCAATGTCCATCGATGAAATTGCCGCCCTCTGCACTGTAAAAGAAAGTGGGAGCTCCATTTTCATCCTTCAACGCTTATAAATCTCTGCGATCTTTTCTCCATCGAAGCAGTTTTTGGGTACATATCGAGAATTCCTTCCGCGCTGGAGAAGACAGGCCAACTTCTGGTAAGTTATCCACGGATCTCTAATCTGGGTTTCGATTTTCCTAGCATAAATTTCGAGACCGTGGCTTGATTTCGTTATGCTTGAACGGAATTCAATTGATTTTCGGTTTTGTGGAAACTGTATTCTTCGTAGCTGGGCGCCATTTGCTTTGGAAACGATCTGATTGTTCAGCTGTTAAGGATATCAGAGGCTTAATTGTCAATTTTTTTTCACGAGATCATCGGTAATCGAAGAAAGAGAGCTATCGTATTTTACTCCGCTTCGCATAGGGGGAGGAAGATTTACTTTCGGTTATTTTTGTATAAGTAGCGTCGGGATAAATCAATGAGGAACTTCCTTAACTAATATCTCTTCAATTATCTAATAGCTCAGCGTTCGGAATTTGTATATTATAATCTTTGTTAAGAATATGACTTAAATTTACTGTAATCCATGGGCTTAGGCTTTTGGGTTAAGGGGGTGATTTAATAGTCTTGGCTGTGTGCTTTACTTTAGATTCAATTGCCTCTAGTTTGTTGGATCGTTTATAGCAACCATATTTGCTGCAGTCTGAATTTATTAGCGAACTGTTTATTGGCAGCACCATGAAAGATTCCTACCGGCAAACAGTTTTCAGCTGGTGGGAATGACATGAAGTTTCCTTCTGAGATCTTCACAAAATCCATTTTGGTTTTTGTGCAAACTAATGTTATCAGTTTAAATATTTATCTCATACTACCAGGTTCTCATGAATATGAGCACGAGCAGCTGCAGTTTTGGAAATCTTAATTTTTAATGCGAAGGATACCGGGTGTCCTAATAAAAGCTTGTTATCTATTGCAGGAGAACATGGAGCAGCAACATGTCAACAGCATATATAGTATACCCGTCTCATGGAGGGGAACGAAGTATATGGTGGAAATCAGTTCAGATTCTACTCTTAGGGACCTCGGTCAAAAGCTGCTAAAATTAACTGAAGTTAAAGCAGATACTATGCGACTCATAGTCCCACAAATTTCCAGCAAAAGCTCTAAAATGTTACATCCTTTTTCTGATGAAGATGGATACTTGGATTTGGAAAAGATCTCAAATTTTAAGGTACAATTCATTAACTTATTTTATAAAGCTGATTTGATTTAGTTCGTGTGCCACAGCCACATGTTGGTTTTTAATTTGATGCACTACCAGTTATAGCAGGCACTTGTGATGCACATGAAGTTCTGAATATAAAGTTTGATGTTTCAATCTGTATGGAACAATTTTTTTCTCTGCTGGTCCAGTTACATTCCAAGAACTGTTTCTTTCACTTCCAAAGTTACTGGAAACCATTATAGTACTGTTAGGTTACTGACTCACAGCTTTGACTGCTTCAGGACAACAAGCCTATCAGAATGATGGGAGTGTCTAAGAATGAGGTAGACGAAGTTTTGAAAAATGCAAAGAAAAATGAAAGAATTGCTGGATTTGATGAAGAAGAGAAGAGACTGAAACAACGAATGTCAAATAAGTCTCAGGCCTTGTTGAAACTACCAGAAGGACCTTATGTATTTTGTGAATTTCGGACACTTCAAATTCCTGGAATTGAGGTGCTCTTCAGTGTTATTTAATGATTTTATATTGCATGAATAAATATCGCCAGCAGGATTGCATTTTGCAGGGCTTATGTCCTTTAAAATGGATATAGGTTTACTCGTAAATATTTGTTTTGATCTGTATTTCTTTTAAGCTTTCCTTTTGCTGTTGAGAATTACAATAATCTACATATCTTTAACTGGTGACTGGTGTTGAATGGCTCATTCTTTCATTGGCTATAGTTGAACCCTCCAGCTTCAGAAGCTTTGAAAAGAATGCATATGCTTGCTGCTGATCCTGGAATTGTCGCAATTATGAACAAGGTAAAGGAATGTCTAAATCTGTATTTAATATGTGATTAGTTATAAATAACCTAATGATTGGTCTTTTTTTTAGCACCATTGGCGCGTGGGAATTATGACTGAGATGGCCCCCGTTGGCTATGTTGGTGTGAGCCCTAAATGTCTTCTTGGCTTTAATAAGGTATGTCTACTTTAATGTGGTGGAAAATTTTAGAATATTATTCTCCAAATTTTATTGTTGACTATAGTTTCTGATCAGAACTGTGGAGAGGAGATATCCCTGCGACTTCGTACAGATGACCTGAAGGGCTTCAGAAAATACGAAAGCATTAAGAAAACATTACTCCATGAACTTGTGAGCTCTTTTTGTTCTGTTTTTTATGCATGCAGAAGACTAATACATTGTAAATTATTCTCGAATGAATCTCTAAACCTAAATGTGATTTATAACTAGGCACACATGGTCTATTCAGAGCATGATGCCAACTTCTATGCTTTGGACAAGCAGGTAATAATTTTTTTTGATTATGAATTTCTTCTCATTTATGTCCATATTGACAATTCCCACTGAGTTCATCATTATTCCTCAATTAATCTGTTCTTTTAATTTGATATTTCTTAGCTTAATGAGGAGGCTGCCTCTTTAGACTGGACAAGATCACAAGGCCACACGTTGACTGGAATTAAGCATTCCCGACATCATGAAGAAGAAATCTACAATGTCCAAGATGACATCAGTGTTCCACAGAAGCTTGGTGGAAGTATGTCGCATCAGCTTGTTAATGCTCGTGCTTCTTCGGTTGCTGCTGCTTATCACCGTTTGACAGACACTTCTGATTTCAGTGGAGTGTCTAAAGTAAGTGGAGAGCCAGATCATTGTGATTTGATTCCGAGCCGATTAGATCCCTTGAACTGCAAGGAGGAAGCAAAAGTGCCATTTCATAGTCTGAACAAAGCCCTGAAAAATTCTCATCGTGAACCTGATCCTGACGACAGTTCTAATTACCAAAACAAGCTGGAGCCTGATCCTGATGACAGTGCTAATTATGAAAATAAGCTTGAGCCTGATCCCGACAACAATTCTAATTATAAAAACGTGTTCGAGCCTGATCCTGATGATTCTACAGGGAGCAGAATTTTAGAATCTGAATGTAAACCAAGATCCAATAGGAGCATAATAGTTCAAACAGAGTTGAGCAACAAGGAAGTGCAGCCTTTGCCTCCTACTAACAGTAGATTGCTGGAAGACTCAAATTTGTCTGGAGAACCAGATCCTGATGATATGGGCAGCTCTTCAAACGGTAAAATAACTGGTCCAGACCAGTTCTCTCGAGAAATGCAAAACCTGGATGGCAACAGTTGCCAAATAATGGCTGTTGAACCTGATCCAGATGACTTGGGAGAGAAACAGAACACGTTGGGTTGTGGAAATGCTACTGAACACAATGAGGCCAATTGTCTAGAATCTGACTTAGTGACAGATCAAACCCTTTTAAGCGTAAATTGTAGAAAGCACGATACTTCTCAAGGAGATGAACCTATGCAGATAGAGCCTGACCCTGATGAAAATTTGGTACAGCAGGTGAAATTATCTAAACTGCTTGTGGACGAGCCTGATCCTGATGATCAAGAAATTCAAAGAATTCAAGACTCTGTTTCTCTTGTTTGCAATCGATTGCGTGAGGCTATTGCAAAGCTGCTAGCTGAAGTTAAACCTTCTGAATCTTCAGCAGTTTTTCAAACTCTGTTCAAGATTGTTAGGTAAGTTCTAGGATTCCTTTCCACTTGTGCTCTCAAGTCTCAGTTCTGGTGGATATACTTGTCCGCTTGTTCTTATTATGACTGCTACCTCTGCTATTTTTTTGCAACTGGTCATTATGATTTAATCTTCAATAATGCATCGTTGATTGAAATTCCTCCCTTCTTCAGGAATCTGATTGAACACCCCGATGAAATGAAATACAGAAAGCTTCGCAAGGCAAGTCTATTATCCTTCCTCCTCTCTTTCACTCCCTTTCATGCACTATTCTCTCATTCTTTTTGAACTAAATTTGTTCCCTGGAGCTAATAAACGAAGCATTGCAGGCTAATCCCACCATCCAGAAGAATGTTGCAAACTATAAAGGTTAGTTTTGTATGCATCCATATCCATTATACTCAAAGCAACAAAAGAAAGAAATCCAACTAAGAATTTTACTTTAAATTACTACGATCCGTGGTACCGATTCTTCTCTGTTTCTAAATGCAGCTGCATTGGAGATCCTCTTCTTGATAGGATTCATTGAAGATGTACTGCTGGACGAAATCGGCAAGACAGAGACATTTCTTGTACTGAAGCGAAACGATCCCGGCTTGTTGTGGCTTGCCAAATCCACCCTTGAAACATGCAATGCCTTGTAGATTGAAGAACATTTAACAGTCAAACATGTACTATAATACTGTATACAAGTTGTGGTTTATTGTGTTATACTAGACAACCCGGAATTCAAACAGGGATGTAGTCTACAGAAGTACGTTGCGCAAATAAGGAGGTTGGAAATGGTGTATGGTTGTTTCTGAATGGATTCTCCGGCACTTGTTCAATTGTCAGACTTCAACGAGATATTAATACAGACAGTTCTCTTAAAAGATTGGAATTCATGTTTTAGCTTCTAGAGGTTGAATTCATGGTTGTTATCCATTTAATATTTGATAATTTACGAGTTTCTTTGGCATTGAAATACAGTCGATGAGGCGATTGTCAGAGGGATGAGATGATTCATGAAGTGAATAGATAATATCATTTTTTTGGGCAAAATTTTAATTTAATTTAAAGAATGTACAGTTAATCGAGTATTATATTATTTTAAGTATTTTAATATTATATTATTTCAAGTATCTTAATATTATACAAACTGGAGCCCTAAAAACTAAATACTACTTAAAATTTATTCTCCATCTTCGTGCGCGGCCCGCCCACGATCTTTCCTTCTCCCCCTTCTCGCAGTGTCGCCACTTGTGCCGCTTCACCTTCATCCACCGCCGTCGTGCCCTCCGCCTCTTACTCCCCTTTACAGTAGTCGGAACTCCCCCGACCCCTTGTTCTCCATCTTATTGTTCGGTTCTTCCCATAGATTTGAGGTTCCAATTTTTCACTATGGATTTAAAAAGCGAACGAAAAAACCGACCGATCGAACCGATAAACCAAAAAACAGTGCTGCTGTTTATCGATTTTCGACAAATAGAACCTAGTCAGTTTCGGCAAAAAACCGACTCCGCCAACATATGCTCACCCCTGCGGGGAATGACCGGGAAAAGTTAAATTATGTTAAAATACCTCATTTAAAAAATACCGTTTTTTTTTTAAGTTTCAATTACCTTTCAAAATGTTTCAAAAATACTATTTAATCTATTTCGCTGGTCTATTTTGCATGATTTAGCATTTTAGCCCATAGGAAGGGAAAAAAAAAAAAAAAGAATTGAAGTGGTGCACTGGCAGTGCCAGCCTCCATAGCTCCTTCCTTCGAAGTTCGAACTCGAACTTCCACCATCTTTGAAGCAATCCACAGTGAAGCTGTTTATTAAGCGGCGATGGTACTTCCTTCTCTCCGTCGCTTAATTTTCAAATCTCGTTTCCGACTCGGTCGCCATGTTTCTTCTTCATCTTCTTCGGCGAGTGAAGCTTTTGATCCCCCGCCTGTTGTTCGTACTCGAAGAGTAGTTGTTACTGGTAAATACTCTCCTTATTAAATCAGTAATATACTAAGCACGCTTATCATGGTTTTCAAAGGAAATTTGCAGCTTCCAATAGAGTCGAGCTTGATTAACAGTCGCGTTTTCTGCAAACTTCAGCGTTTCACCGAGAGAGCAGCTATTTCTATGGTCGTAGTCGGTTGAACTTTTTTGATTTTTTGTCTATTTATCTCAATTTCAAATAGTTTGTTCTGGCTGCCACTTTGCTGATAGGCAGCAAGAATCAATTTTCCCTTATATTTCTCTTATGGTTGTGTTGGAGTAGTTTGTAATATTTGTTAATGTATATGCATATATTTTGTACCTTACCGTCTCTTACATATTTGACATTCCATTTCAGGCTTAGGAATGGTGACTCCACTTGGTTGTGGTGTAGAATCTACTTGGAAGCGTCTAGTAGAAGGGAGATGTGGGATTAGGGAGTTATCCCCAGAAGATATCCAAATGAGTGCTTTTGATCCAGAAACACGGTTGTACACATTCGACCAATTGGCATCGAAAGTCGCTGCAGTTGTCCCTTGTGGTACAAAGCCTGGTGAATTTAACGAGGAATTGTGGCTTAATTCTAAGGTCAAAGAGGAACTTCCTTATTGACCTCCGGGTTCTCTTTACTTTGTGAATTAGCTATTATCTGAAACAAAATGTGCGTTGATCACTACCTTTTACATGGGTTGAGTTTTTCTGCTCATCTATTTTACCTTGAACATAGGATATGGCGTGATGGTCTGATCTGCTGGAAGGTTGACATATAGCTTTTGCTAGGCAAGATCTGGTTATTCAATGTGGTATCTGAATTAGTGAAAATTATTAGTTGTGTAGTTCCTTAACAGATTCTTGAGATGATTTTTGCGAACATCTTTGATAGGAGTAGCAGGTACTTCTCCAGCTACTGCTCAAAGTTTTGGCAGTAGCATATTTACTCTGTAATTTGTATACATAACTAATATACTATACTGGCTGATCATCTTAGCTTTTAAGATATACCATCCCGACTGATGTAACCTGATTGATTATGGTGTATGAAATATTAAAATCCTCGTGGGTGAAGTAAACCCACTAATTGATAAAAAGGTCCTGTTGACATGTTGCTATAGTTAAGTTATTTGTGGTCCTTAGGTGGAAATTCCATTCTCTCTTTGTGCTTCGTAGGATGGTAAAGACCTTTAAGATATGAGTTGCAAGACAAATTCCTCTTCTCTCTGTACCTGCCATTTTTTTGTATCATTCTCTATTATACTATTGATTTTCTGAGCGTTGGAGATATCAGCATTGGAAAATTATTTTTAAATAATCATGTTAAAGATTATTGGAATTATCAGGAGCACCGTTCAATTGCAAGGTTTATAGGCTATGCTTTATGTGCTGCTGATGAAGCCTTAAAAGATGCAAATTGGGTGCCATCTTTGCAGGAACAGAAGGAAAAGACAGTATGATTCTTTATATATTGATATCCATAACATTTTTCCCTTGATTATTCAGGAAAATATCAATGTTTAACTTGAAAACGCCAGGGAGTCTCTATTGGTGGCGGAATTGGAAGCATCAGTGATGTGTTAGATGCAGCACAACTAATTTGTGACAAGGTTAGTTTATGAGTTTATTGCACTCAAATATATACAAAGAGAACATAATTTCTCTCTCCCTGCTCATATTGGGGGTTTTCAATATAAAATTGAAGAATACACAATTAACTTGAATGTGGATTTTCTATTTTTCTTTTCTTTTTTTTTGCAGAAACTACGTCGCCTTAGTCCATTTTTTATCCCGCGGATATTAATCAACATGGCCTCTGGTCATGTGAGCATGAAATATGGATTTCAGGTGCAGTAGATTCTAAGATTATTAAGTTGCTGTGCTATGAGATTAATCAGGATTCAGGACACTTATGCTGTACTTCAATTCATGATGCTAGTTGTCCATGTCTGAAAATTTTAGAGAGATCCTTGTTTGTAGCTATTTAGTATTCAATATTTCTTAAATCATGAGTATGAAGCTGAATCAAAGTGAGATACTGGTGCAGTGTGATTAGGGGTAAACTTGTAGTTGTAGTTGAGTTTGTTAATTAGTTTCTAGTTGTTAATTGGTTTTAGCAGTTGGGTCGTTAGTTGGTTATTTTGTTAATAATTGGTTTACTTAGTGGGTTAACAACCTCTATAAAATGAGAGTTAATCTCTTGTCTTTGCAAGACTTCTTGAATCACAATAAACACTTTTGTTGAGAGTTATTGGAGTTCTATCTCTTAGATGCTAGGTTGCATCAGATATCTTGGTTCAATTTAGTTTAGATTTTAGAATATGTGATGTTTTTAGTACAAATGGGAAACTTAGGCTGATATCAGGCCAGATATTACACAATATCAACATGAAAGTGTCAGTGTTATTAGCAAGTGCTCATACATTTCTCTGTTTCTGTCTGTTGAATTATAATAAACTCGGCCTTTTAATATAGTTTGTAGAACTTCTTAACACTATCTTTCAATTGAAGCTGTCTAATGTGGCCTTATAGGGTCCAAACCATGCTGCAGTGACAGCTTGTGCAACTGGAGCGCACTCTATTGGTGATGCTGTTCGGATGATTCAGTTTGGAGACTCTGACGTCATGGTGGCTGGAGGTACAGAGTCTAGCATTGATGCTTTATCAATAGCAGGATTTTGCAGGTGATTAAAATACCGAATCTTAGGCCTTTGGACTAAACTATTTTTGCTTTATATGACTACTTTTAGAGTTCTGATCATATTTTATTGATTTTGTTATTTTCAGATCAAGGGCTTTGTGTACAAAGTACAATTCAGCTCCCCAAGATGCTTCTCGCCCTTTTGATTGTGGTCGAGATGGGTTTGTGTGCGTACATTTTATTGGTTATTTTTTATTTTTATATCCAATCTTTTCTTACTCTCACTTCTGCCCCTCTCCTTCTAACCCTCATTCTCAGTATAGGGGAAGGTTCTGGTGTCATGGTGCTGGAGGTCAGTTGGAATACTATACTTAATCTGACAACTTTATGTTTTAGTTTCACTTCCTTTATTCTATTGTTTGATTGAGTTTTCTTTGCTATAAGGTTAGTGATCCATTTCTTATATAGGAACTTGACCATGCCTTAAAACGTGGAGCTAGAATATATGCGGAAGTCCGTGGCTATGGGACTTCAGGTTTTATTTAATTTCAATGTGCTGAGTCTGCTCAACATTGTAGATTTTTCTAGGGGCAATGTCTTAAAAGTGTTGTATGGTTTTAAAAATAATGATTCTCTTTAGGTGATGCCCATCACATTACTCAACCACATGCCAGCGGAAGAGGTGCAGCCCTAGCCATGACATGTGCTCTAAAACAGGTTAAAAAATTAATGATGGCTTTTAATTCCTTATTTATTTCATTTTAGTATACGAGCATTCTTTTTTCTATTGTACTTATTTACTTTTGATAAGAATAACCTTCCGTTGAAAATCAAAGAATGCTAACGGGGAGGACAAGAGATCCTCATAACTAACTAAGAACCCGCAAGAAAGCACTCTAATTGGCTGGCATAAATAAATAAAAAAAGGGATGATAACAATATAGTTTACAAAGAGAGCTTCATTTAGACAATAAAGCATTCAACATCTCCCAAAAGTTGTGCCTCACCCTTACCTTTGCCTAGTGCTTTGAAAACACTGGGTCTGATATGAATTTGTAACATGCATGCTGTCTTTTTTCTCTCTGGTCAATTGCAGTCTGGATTTCATCCCTGCCAAGTGGATTACCTAAATGCACATGCGACATCTACACCTTTGGGTAAAAATTTCATTCTTTTACAGGTTGCCTAGGTGTGATTTTTGTAACTAGAGAAATGTGCCAATGTTGTTTTATATATGTAATCTATGTTTCTGGGTTTTTACTTAGGTGATGCAGTAGAAGCCACTGCTATAAAATCTGTATTCACTGACCATGCATTATCAGGTGCTTTGGCTTTTTCCTCCACAAAGGTAATTTTTATGTTTAATGTTATTTTTCATTTGGTTTCTTGGTCTAATTTCACTGTTTATATTTCCTAGACGTCCGTGCGTCTTGTAATTGTTAGATTAACCATGTAATGATAGTTGACAGAGGTATCCAACCTATTTTCTGAGAAAATATAGGGGAAAAAAAACCTACAAACTGAATGCCTTTTGAAACAATGGTGTAATCAGAGCAAGAGCATTTACCTGTCTAAAAACCATGCATTTATGAGATATATTAATGAGAAAATTTTGAATTTAAACTAAAGGATTGTTATTTTACTTAATAAGATACCTGATGATCTGGGAGGCGTTAATCATTCTTACAAATTATCCAACACTTGTGGAAAAGGTTCATTTATAACCCTTATGGCTATTCTGAGCACACCTTTATGGACACAACGACCACTCCATTTAGTGCAATCTTTATACAAATTTATCTTTTGTGAATGTTAACCACATATACGCACAAATGAAAATCGGATTTCAGGGTGCAATTGGTCATCTTCTTGGAGCAGCTGGTGCGGTTGAGGCTATTTTTTCTGTTTTAGCCATACACACTGTAAGCAAATTTTGCTCTTTCAACTTTTCGAGTTACTGGAACGTTGTCATTTGGGGAAGGTTATGACGAGAGCGTACTAGTAGTGCCAGTAATTATAAACTTCCCCAAAAGAGGGAAATTCCTCGGACAATTTCATGTCAACAAATGAACATGAAACCAGCTACTTGCTGGACAGGGAGGGACAATTTTACAGACGATGAAATAATTTCCTCTAAATATGTTGTTTATTTTAGTCTCTCTTATAGTTGTTTTCTTGGACATCTATAATTACCAGAGCTCTGGATTAGCATCATTTCTTGTTATGCCAAACTAATTAAATGGCAGTATCCTTTAAGGCATTTGAATCATGACTAATGGCTGCTTTGTGTTGTTTTGTTGCAGGGAGTAGCACCACCCTCCCTTAATCTCAAGGAACCAGATCCAATATTTAACGAGAACTTCATGCCTTTAACCTCGTCGAGACAGATGCCGATTAGAGTTGCTTTATCGAACTCCTTTGGCTTTGGGGGAACAAACGCGTCCCTACTCTTCGCTTCTGTTGCGTAGAACAGACTGATTACTCTATGCCTATCCTTATGGATCTCATTTGTGGAAGAAGCTGGTAAGTTCTTCAGTCCAAATTGGAACTTACTGTTGAGATTCCATTTTACACAAATTTTGATTCATTGATTATTGTTGCGGCTAAGATGAGATGAGGGCTGCATATCAGCGGTTATCACATTAAAAAAAATATTGACTAATCAATTTTAGGCACCATTTAAAGATTGTTTACGTTTACAAATACATACCAATTTTTAAAGTAGCTTTTTTCATCTCCTAAGGTTTTGGATGAACAAATTCATCCCCATTATAGCCCTCTACTCCATGGAAAGCATTTGATCCCTTTGTGCATGCTCATGTATGTGTCATGTTATTATACTTATAAATAGGGACAAACCCTTATTATATTTACTAAAAACTAACTACTTGACATTAATTCAAAAATAAATTTGCTTTTGTTAGGGGTTGTTTGTTTTCTTTAGCACAACAAATGTTGGGGTCGTACTTTCAACATTTATGCGACTCAAAATAGCTTTCAATATGGAGGGTAGACTTCATAGTATGATTTAAATCCACATTGAAAGATTTTGTATTTGACGGTATCTTAAAAGGTACGATGTAGGAAAGAAATAGCTAGCTCAATATAAATTTCTAAGTTTTATAAACTTCTTTCATCAATCTAAGTCATTATTACCATCTCAGCTCATTACTGTGTATTTACTTTTATTATCAATAATTTGAGAATAGTACTTTGTCTCCAAAACATCTGAACTCACAATTATGATAATCCTAGGTCTTTGCTCAACCATTAAAAAAGAAAATAATGAAAAAAAACCCAAGGATGGGTCAAAGGAGGGGCACAATATATCTATTTAAAATTTTAAACTTTTCCCTTTCAATTTGTCATATCTGATTTTTCAAACTATAAATATGAAAAATAAAATTTTGATGGTATAATTTTGCTCCTCGAAAGGCGTAGAATGTTTCATAATGTTTTTACAAATAAAAATAAAATAAAATTACATAATATTTATAATCAAAATGTTGAGATGGCCGAGTTGGTCTAAGGCGCCAGATTAAGGTTCTGGTCCGAAAGGGCGTGGGTTCAAATCCCACTCTCAA